AAAAAAAAAAAACAGCTTTGAAGGCCATTATAATTACCATGATTTCTCTCCCGCTCTAACTACGTTATAACTTTTACAGGCAAAATCACCCGTAATACCCGCGCAAATACCATCCATCTAACTGTACAATCTAACGTTGTATTAATTTTATAAAATATCTCCGATTTTCATTTTACCATCATAAATGGTAAATTAACAACGTGGAGGTTGCAAACACGAATTTCATTGGCTGAAAGAAATCGGTCAGATCCATCCTACGTTGTCCCAGGTTACCTTTTTTCTCGTCCCGAAACAGAAATCATTGCGATCAATGGCGAAGCTCGAACACTCATTTTACAATTTTCCTCGCATTAGGCGCAAGCCGCGCTGATGTACGACGCCGTATTCGTTCTCGTCGAGGCGTTCAACAAGTTTCTGAGAAAAAAGCCGGACAGAAGCAACGTGAGGCGAACGGGCATTTCTGGCAGCAGTCAGATTACCAACGGCACCAAGGCGCTGGATTGCAACAGCAGCCCCGGCTGGGTAACGCCGTTTGAGTTTGGCGATAAAATTTCAAGGCTACTCAGAAAAGTAAGTCAATGCCACGTTATTCGTTTCAAGATAAATTTTGATTTCACTCTTCGTACTTGACTAAATCGGTATTATATTATCATCGATCGAATATCATTTAAAATTATCTGAAATTTGTCCAATTTATTTCTACTGTGTAATACCTCGTTTTCTTTCTTTTCTTTTTTTTTTTTTTTTATAAATTTCACTATCCGATTATTCACCTAAGTTTTATCTCCAATTTCTTTCGAAAAGTTGCTGTTTAATGTGAATTTTATATATTACACCGTGACTCTGATGAAATTTGAATCAACTTGAAAGGTACACGGTCATTAAATCGTCGCACGGGTATTTAAAAATTCGTAAGATGATTCGAAATAAAAAAAGAAGAAAGAAACACGAGTTACTAAGAGATTTAACATATAAAAGAAATGAATCAAACTACTAGATACCCTTTCCAAAATATAATATAAAGTGTAACACAATGCCCAACTTTGCCCAAAATAAAAATAAATCAAAAAGAATTATTACATACAATTTTTCTTCGCGATTTTTCAGAAAATTTCTAGACTTTCTGCTATCGAGTGCACGAACCACAAACTCATTCATGTTTCATGAATTCTTCTGAACAACACGATTATTTATTCACTACGCATAAATCCTAATGGATTGGTACACATTCTGGAGGAACGCCGGTATCCACGTTAAAGCCACGAAGTGTCTCTAGGCCACGCAGATCTGTCAAAATGATTCACTCGGAAATTCTCGAGTCGCGGATAGAGACGCAGAAATACTCGATATCGTATATATCTGAAATACCCCTGGCAACCCGAAATTGCGAAGGACCCTTGCCGAGGTCTCTCTGCCATTGACAGTAATTGGCGGTTATTCCGACTCTAACGGCATTCCTACGTCCACGTCAGATCGTCTCTACCTCCGTTCAATGCACGAACGTGTACAGCCACACCGGAAGTGACGTCCCTATATCTTCGATTCTCCTGCTTTTCGTTAATTTGTTGCCTGACAAGACCGTAGAACTTCCCTTGGGCCAAATGAATTTGCTTCTTTAAAATTGATGATTCACAGAAAGAGACAAGTTGTACAGATTAGTCGAATTTGTATAGACGAAATCATTTGAACTTGAAATCATTTCGAATTACTAACGGAGAGCGGATACGTCTAAAGTTAATTCACTTTGGCAAATCGATATACATTTCAAAGGATTTTTCAATTTCGAAGCATGAAAGGGATAGTTTAAATTAAGAAGCTGAAGAAGCTATCCCAAGATGTGTTTTGAGTATGAGTGATGAGTTTAAAAAAAAAAAAAAAAATTAACGATACACTCACTTTGTTTCTAAGTAATTTTTTTTCAAATTTTCAAGCACTCAAAGAACGGAGATATTTTCATTTTAGTACTAATGATCGTTTCAGAACGGAATAACATATCGAGCAACGAGAATTTTCGAAATTTTACTAGATGCTTTTAAACGAACGCCATCCTAAATCCGACCATATCGAGCATATAACATGAAAGTGAATCATGGTATATTGACATTTTGGTTAAAATCACACTTTTCCTAAAAATACCATCCTATCTTC